AAGGACACTTCAACCCCCATGTCGTCAACTAACATAATGAAAGGCGGCATATGCCACCCAATGCGCTCCACCGACAGCCTCATGGCCCCCGCAGGGCCGCCCACCTCTCTCCACGTGGGGGAGGGCCCCACAAACACGGACTCCCAAGACTTACGCAATTCGGCCAAACTGAGGCCGAAACCGAAAGCGCCAGTAAGGCTAGCCCAAACTTCGTTGGACCAGCGCACAATAGGAGCCACAGCGCAGTACCACGTGGGGTCGGCGGAAAACAGCAAAGCTGCAGTGAGGGAACGTCCTCCTGCCGTAGGGCTCAAGGAGCGCCCGAGCGACCTGCGGAGGGAGGCCAATTCGAGGTCCGAGGTGCCGTGCACCTCGCATCCATAGGTCCTGCTGGGAAGGGGGCCTCTAGTGAATATACGCTTGGCATGCCGCCCCAAGGACGAGCGATGTACACCAATTCTGTGAACCTTCCTCTTGAAATCATGTTTCCGAACCTGAGCCTTGCCTCCTCTCCTAGCCATCCTCCCTGGTTTGCCCGCGGCATCAATTCCGAGGTTGACGGCAGAAGGGTGCGGAAGGCCGCCGACAGCACCAAGGCCTCGGCGCATCTCCATGGCAACAACATGTTCAGAGGCGATCGCAGCCGCCTTGCTGACAGAGATGGCGCATCCCAGATCGGACTCGATGGCAATCTGCAACTTCAGCGATCCCTCCAGGAGATCCTGAACGACCGCTCTGGGCCGACCAGTGCAAGACAGGGTGTAATCGTCGATGTAGACTCGCAGCGAAACTGATCTGGGAAGGCTGAGGCCGTCTAAGGCCGCCAGCGTGAAGACGCGAATCAGCGTGGTCGCGAAACCACATCCAGCAATAAGTCCTCGCCAGGCAAAACGTGGGCCGTCGACGCGGCCGTCCATGGCCATATGTCTGCAGGCGCGGTGCGCCGTGTAGCAGACGCGCGCGATCTGCATGGGAAAGCTATGTTGGCGGCATCGGGCCAGGAGAAGGTCGAGGTCGACTGATTCATAGAACTTGAGCAAATCCCAGAGCACAGACGCCGAGCAGTCCTGCGACGCGACCGCGACCTCACTCCTGACCCCTTGCCTCCAGACAGTATCGACACTAGAGGCAAACGCATCGGCGCAGAAAAACTCACGGGCGTTGTCGGCTTCCCATTGGCGAGCGCATGACCGACGAGCCGTAGCCCAGAGACGGTGGATCGAGACGAACGGGCCGATCGGGCGATGCCCACCGTTGGGTTTAGACAGCATGACCAGGGGCACGACTTTCATCTGCCCAGGGAGCAACCCCGATCGCTCCCAGATCGAGATCATGACCGACAAGGTGCCTTAGGCCTGATCAGACAAATGCTGGACATGCGAGACATGGAAACCATCCACCGACGAAGCCGTGTGCTTGGGGAAGGAGCGAGACACTCGACGGATGTCCTCCACCGACAGGTCAGGGAGGGGGTCCAAAACTTCAAACGCAGAACCAGCCTGGGGGGCCTCAGACTGGGGTTCAGCAGGCCGGATACGCGCGAATTTCTCGAGCTCGGAAGACAAGAGGGCCCCAGGGTCCGAAACAACTTCACCTTTGGCACTCAAGGTGGTCGTCGGCGTCCAACCCGAGGCACCCCTAACAACTCCATGGGCATGACGGGCTCCGTTTTCGATGTTGTGACGTATCCACTCCAACCACTTCTTATGATCTTCCTGCCTGGCCGCACTCTCAGCTTCAGCCTGGGCCTGGGAGACCATATCGAGGGCCCTCGAAGGTTCACTTTGGACGTCGCAACAATCGGACGGGCAAGAAATAACAATGCCCTGCACGACCTGCCAGTGGGTGAAGCTTTCTCCAACCCACGGCCCAAGCCGAGAGGGGGGGTGCAGCAGCTCCTCCGCCGTGTCCCGCGGATGCTGCTGCCTAAGCACCTCAGGACAAGTGGGGGCCGCACCGCCCAGGGAGCTCGTGCTCCCAGTGCTGCTGGGACCATGTTTTTCGAAACTGCTATGAGCAAAACGCGGGGAGGAGTGGGGCGTTGACTGCCGCTCCGAGGTTTGACTGCCCAGACCTAACAGCTGAAGCCAAAGTCGGTACCTGCTGCGTAGCCATCGGAGACGCGCGGCCTCCTTCGAAGTGCTGGATGTGCCAGCCATAGAAGTTGACGCGTCCACGACACTGACCCAGTGCAGCTGCGGCTGGCGGCCTCTGCTCCCTCGAAAAGGGAGGGTCACCTGGAACACGGACTCGAGCTCTTGCTCCGCGGCCGTACCCCATTCCCGATACAGCACATCGATGTTGAATTGAGTCTGGTCCAATCTTCCATTCTCGGCCACAGCAAGAGCTCGGGCAGCCAACTTGGGGAGAAAACTCCACTGCCAATGGGGGTTCGGGGATGGGGCCCTGGGGGCGGAGGGTGGGGAGGGGAAGGGGGGTTCCTGAAAGTGATGGCACTCAGGGAGACGAGTTGCGGGTGAAGTTTCACAGCGACAGGATCATGGGTGGCCAAGTCCGAATCGCTGATTATCTTCACGCTCTCTATCGCTTGCGCCACTCGCGCCTCAATTAACATGTAATCGTGCATTTTGATTCCCCCAGTGGACCGACAGGTGCCCACCACACCTGCAGGGTAGCAAACCTCCGCCCCGAGCCTGGCAGGAACAAAAGAGGAGCGCAACATCGACGGCTCCATGTTGAAATCACCGCCTATGACAAATGGGACGTCCAAGCTTTTAGACCTAGACGCCACGCGAGCCAATATATCCCTATTGGTATCATTCAAACCAACGCAGTCCTGAAGGTAAACACTAACCACAAAGAAGCTGGCCTGGCCAGGGAGGTGGACCAGGACCCCCGCAGCCCGATGATTTCTCAAACAGGGACCGAAGTCGGGGAAGTGCAAACCAAGAAAAGCACGGGCCAGGATCCCAACGCCCGCGGACGGGCCTCCTCCAGGCCCCAGGCATCCAGGCTCAAAATGTGCTTTCCAACCATTTCGGACACACCAAGCCTCAGCCTTGCGGCGGTCCTCGGAGGTGATGAGCTTGTGCTCTTGACACAGCACGACGTGCGCCGTCGTTAGGGCTAACATCTTCTTGAGAGAGTTCCAAGTCGTGCAATTCGCGGTGACGAACTCCATGCCCAGATGATCCCAGGAAGATTCGACTTGCAACCGATGATGTCCAGCTGTGACTGGTGCATCCAAAACTGGGCAAGAGGATTGGATCGCGGGGTAGGAGGGGTCCGTCACAGCGCTGTTGCCCCGGCGACTTGGGCTTGGCAGGTGGCCCAGTGGGCGACTTGGGCACAGGGGGCGCTCCTGCGCCACGCTGGGCCGATTCACGTGCTGCGGCTCTGACATCGGCCGCAGACTTGGCTGGAGAGGGCGGCGGCTGGCTGACCGCTGCCGGCGTGCCGACGTCAGCTGCTGCTGCTGGGGCTCCACCACCAGCACTGGCTGACGCAGAGCTAGACTCAGCAGTGGCAGGCTCAGGTGTTCCAGCAGCCGCTGTGCCAGCAGCCTCTGCATCGTCCGTCTTGCGCTTCTTGCCGAGCAAGCGATCCTGCAGGGCTTTGTGTGCCGCCTTGTGCTCCTCCGCTCGTTGCTTGATGTCGCCGAAGAGCTTCGTGCAGCACGCCCCGATGTGATCCGCCATCTGCTCCTTGCGGCGGGTAGCCTCCTCCAAATCCTGCTGAGACACTTCAACGCCAACCTCTTCGAGCCCAAACAGCCCACCGTCATCAACTTGCAGGCCAGTGAGCAGCCGTCCCTCAAGAATGTCATTGAGGTTGATGGACGGGCCAGCTGGCTGAGGATGCTCGGCAGGCTGCGCAACCGACAAATGCAACTCCGAGATGGCGTCCTTGTACTCAACATCGTACTTCTCGAGCTCGGCCAGAGTGGACTCCAGCTGGCCCCGCAGGTTGGACAGCTTCTGCTCCATGGCGTGCACAACTTTGAGATCCTTGTCCAGCTTCTTCTCCAGCCGAGTGATCTCCTTGTGCGCGTTATCAGCTCTCTCCTGCGGTGGCACAGACGAGGCCTTGAGCTTGTCCAGCTCCTTCTGCGCCTGCTGCAACATGACGGTGTTGCCAGTGCGCTCACACAATTGAACAAGCTGCTCGAGGTCCGACTTGCTGGGCTGCACTGGGGCAGGCGGCCCAGCTGGGGCGGCGGCGGCTTGTCCTGCAGCGACTCAGCGGTCCGACGAAGTGCTGCTGGGTCCCCGCGAGCAGTCCTCTTGTCGTCAGCTGGAGCTGACTCGACAGGCGCCTTCCACCACTTCTTGCAATGCTTGCAGTACTGAAAGTATGATTCGTTTCTTTTGCACCCACAGTGTCGGCACTGCCAGCGAGGGCCGCGGCTGAAGTCACCGCCAGCACCGCCACGATCACCGCCCATTGCAAGTGCGCCGTAGTGAGTAACCGAGCCAGAAAAAGGCCCGCTGTCACCCAGCCGTTCTGAAGTGTCGGTGACAGCAAGCTCAAAAATTTGAGCCGGAACGGCTGAGGAGGAGGAGGAGGAGGAGGAGGAGGAGGAGGAGGAGGAGGAGGAGGAGGAGGAGGAGGAGGAGGACGAGGAGGAGGAGGAGGAGGAGGAGGAGGAG